GCAAGCACGTCATGGGCGGCAAGAAGGACGGTGTCGTTTACTAGGCGAAACCGTCCTTGCGAACACTGCACCCTGAACCCTGAGCTCCAAAACCAAGCGAGCAAAATCAGAGTTTGCAATTGCGAAGCAGCAGATGAAAGTCGCCTTCGGAAGCACCCACAGCGATGATCTCAGGATTTCAGAGATTCCAGGAAGAGGCAGGTCGACAAGTAGAGGCATCAATCGAAGCACTCGAAAGTCAAGGCAACTCTCGACAGTTAGGGCGTGCAAATACCAGGCTCAGCATTCAGGGCTTAAGTATGGTCTCAAGACTTTGAATCAGGATCTGGCTGGTTTGCCCTTTGTCATGCTTATCTTCCTGGGCGGTATGGCGTAGTATGGAAAGTTCCTACAAACTACACGAAGTTCGGATTTGTTCGTAGGGGTTCAGAATGCTTTCAGCAGCAGGCACAGAGATGTTGATCTTCGGGCATGCCTCCGGGCTGCCTTGCTCTTGAAGTGGGCCGGTGTGTAGTAGTGGATTGGCCAAGTTCTTACTCAGAACCAGATGGACGGAGGCAATGCTCCCGGTCATATCTCAGTAGCATCCATATCCACGGCCGAGTTGAAGAAGTAATATCTAAACCGTACAGACGCAGCTGTGAGCCCACTGTGCTTGTTGTTGCGCAGACCTTGAAACTCTAATCCCTATACTGTCCAGAACTCTACTACACGCAGGATTTTGCAGTTCGCCCCATCGAGCTCTTCATGTGCAGCGTGGTCAAGCGTCTGGAGCCCAGACTTTTTTCGCGAGACTAGGCACTTGAGTTGAGAGTTTCAGATGTGCCCGGATTTTGTGTTTCAGGCGTGCGAGTTCAGGCATTTGCGACCTGACCGACGAGGTTTCGGGTAAGGGGGCTCTGTGGGAAGCTTCGAGCCCTCGTCACAGGCAGACAGACAAAATTGAAACTCCAACATTTTGACCACAAAGTCTAAATAAACCGAAACGGATGTCAACTTTGAAGGGTGCGATTCTCCAAGCCCTGTGAGAAGAATCCGCTTCCACTGAGGGATGGGCTACACCGAAGCTTTCGACTGGCTGGCAAAGCTTGTCCTGAGCCCAGAACTTTGCGCAATTCGGTGTTTAGGAGTTTAGGGTTTAGGCTTGTTTGAGCTTGGGGGGATCGGATCGGGTTAAGGGCTGGCTTTTCGTCCACGGGGCGCTGACGGGGATACATCTACTTGTGACTCCCGCTCTGAAAAATCACACCATGCACCCCACACCCCACACCCAAGGACCTGCATCCGGGACAGCCTTGCTTGTTCCGACTTATCTGATCTTCGCTTGGATCCCATCACTCGGGCTGACACACATATATCGAGTTCAGGCTTCAAGGTTGCAGTCTAACAGAGGTGCGCACAAGAAACTGGCAGCAACACCTGCGGAGATTGTTCTAACTCCAAAGCGTCTTCAACGAAATCCAACAGCAGAACAGGCAAACGTCGAACCCCAAGCCCTGAGCCTGAAAGCTCTCGGAGGTCTGAGTCTGGTCTTGCACGTCCGACAACTCTGAAGATCAGGGATCCAATTTGCGAGCGTCCGAAGGCTGAGCGTTGGAGTCGTGTGACTTTTGTCTCCAAGGTAACTTCATGTTCTCATGATATTTTTAGATGCAGCTCTTCAAATCTGCACCAAGTATACTGCGCCCGACCCCCTATTTTATTTGTTTGCTGCTTCATCCGTCTATTCACTGATATTTCCATCTATTTAGCTATCTATGCAGTTTCATGTGTGTTTACTGTGTCGTGGTTTGATTATGTATGTATTTGTTGTTATGTGTATATAGTTACACATATATGTATATGTTATTTGTATATATATATATATGTTAGTGTATATATCTATGATGTGTGTGTATATGTATATGTACATGCCTATGCATATGTAAATGTAGATGTGTATGTATACGTTTATACATATATGACTATATAGAAAGGTAGATAGATAGGTAGATAGCCCAAGGTTGCAGGCGATCATGGGTGCTTCACGTTGAGCAGCACTTGAGCACAGCGTGAGGGGATTAGGGTTCAGGGTTTGGGTCTTAGTTAGGCGATGTTGGGTTCGGGTTTAAAGGTTGCGCGTTTAGTTTTTTTTTTCGAGGGGTTGCCGCCCGAAAATCGTCGGCGGAAGCGGCAACGAGGTTGAAGGACTGGGATGTTGGGTTGCCTGCAATGCACTTTCAGTTTATCGAAGGTTCCTAGGCAGGTCGCGGCCATTGCGGGCATGTAATTTCCATGTCAGCGAAACATTCGGTCCGTGAAATTTCTCCAAAGACTCCAACGCCCAGCTAAATGTGCAGACTGGGCTTGCAGATGCGTGCATTCTCACAGGCGGCCTGGCGATTTCATGACCGTGGATACCGAGCCTTCAGTCTTAGACGTACAAAGCCCAACCACGAGAAGTTTCAAGATCACCTACCTTCCAATTGGCTGCATTGCCATCAAGATATCATCTTAGTGGTTAAGGTGCGGGGCTTTAGATTACACAATGAAACCGAAAAGCTCATTCCCACCATCTTAGCCTGAAGTCGCCTCACGAGACTGGAGTTATATCTGGACGCAGTCATGTCGACAGTCGGCTGAAAGGACCGTGGCCCCACGCCTCAGGTATCTCAAGTTGTCAGTGGGCATTATTTCTTGGAGAGGTGCAGGCTCTAGGATTCTAGGATATAGCTCGTTTTCTGGCGGCATGCGGCAGTAGCTGTGAGTGAAAACCAGAGTGGATCCTTGGCTTGCATCCCGAAGCGGCCGGGTGTCACAAAGGTTTCAGCGCACGGACCGTCTTCGGTGGGATGTTGAAATCGCTTAAGGTTCAGGCCCCCGAATCTGAAATCTTAACCGTTAAACCGTTAAACCCAAATGGCCCAAATGTTTCAGGAACCGCGTAGGAAGGTGCTGTCATGAAATGCCAGGCATCTGCATCGCTTTTCAGCTCTGGCAACACCAGGGCAGCCAAACACACTCGGCTTTGAGGTTAGGGGCTGAGGGGTTTGGAGCGTTTGGGTTGGGGTTTGAACTGGCCTGCAGGTGGTTTTTGTCGAGTTTAGGGCTGGAGGAGAACCCTGTCTCAGAAACCTTCAGCCTGAAAGCAGCAGGCAGCAAGCTCCGGTTGTTTCCATGCATACGCAATGAGCGCTGAGTAGCTCCAGGAACTGCAGGTCTGACCAGTCTGTCGGCTTCCATTTTCTGCAACACCTATAGTCTCCATTGTAGTTCCGTTTTGGGGTCACCTTATAGAATCCTAGTTATATAACAATGGAGACTATAGGCAGTATTGCCGGCAATCAAACAAGCGGATACACCTAAAACCTGCGAAGGAATTTGGACCATCCTATATGTGTAGGCATGACGAGGCGAACGTGGTCGCATGGGTATGAGACGTAGTGTAGCCGTTGAGGCTATTGCATGGCCATGGGAGACTTCACATCAATGTCAAACCCTTGAACCCTGATCCCATACCTAAACTCCAGCCGTTTAGTTAAACTCACGCCCGAAGGCATAAACCCTAGAAAGAAGGGCTGCGTGCAGATCGTACCCTGGTGTGCCAGAGTTCAGAAATGATGTCCCGGAGGGTCCAGTCTTAAGGTGCGTGCCGGTCTTCGTGTGCACATCGAGGTTTAAGAGTCCTCTGCAAGCATGGTGCGTAGCCGGCAGCCCCCAGCGTCTTGGCGCTTAGGGTACCCGAACCCACGAGCCCTTCTTTAGTTCGTGTAGCTGGGCGGTATCTTGTTAACTCAAGCGCAGGCTTTACGACTCGGAGGATGTTTTTTTTTGACCCGTGCCCTCAACAAGATCAGGCTTGACAAGGATGAAGTTGCATGTGTCATGTCGGCGATGTAGGACGTGGGATACACTGCCTCGTTAAAGTGGACATGCCCCCATGAGCCCGCCTAAAGTTGTGCGATGCTGACTGTTGATGATGGCGCTCACAATGATGATGGTGATGGCGACGATGATGATGAGGGTGATGGTGATGATTATGATGATGATGGTCGCGATGACGATCATTTTGATTGTGGTGGTGATGATCATCGCGATCATACTGATGGTGATGTGAGGATGATGATGATGATGGTGATGATGGTCATCATGGGGATGGTGGCGGCGGCGATGATGATGAGCCAGAAGATGCTGGTGGTCGCAGTGGAGATATTCATGGGTACTGCTTCTTCAATGTTACTAGGATGAAATGTCGCACTCCAATCTTGGACCCTCCTGGACTGTGCCTGCAGCCGTGCGCCGTCGCAGCAGAGAGTTTATGCAGACAGCCGGTGGCAGCACGCTGCAGTTGCATTACAGGGAGCCTGTGGAGGAAGTAAAGTTGTTGGGTGGTACTTCTTGGTCACAATCGTCACAACTAATCAAATAATTGTGTGTTGCGAGTGCAGGCAGTGAGGCATACGATCCATATATGCTATCCGTTGTAGGTGGTCTTTGAAGGCTTGGGCTTGGGGCTTTGGCACTTTTTTCTCTATCTTCTTGCAAGTCCAGCGTGTGCATGCTGAAGGTTTTACGGTGCCAGGCCCCACTCCCATCTACGACGTCCTGAGGAGTCTAACACGACCGATGCCAAGATTTGTTCTGAAGTTAAAGTAGCAAGCTTTTCTGGTGCAGGCTTCGGGGATTAAGAGTGTCGAGTGTGGGGCGCGAGCATGTCAGAGACTGCATCTTGGAATCTTTGATTGAAGCGTAAACTGTAAAGCCTTTGCAGAGCAATTCGCGCAGTGCTTTCTCTTCCATTCGCAAGCTCCCCTTAGTCGACATGCTGCTTGGGGCGCACAACGTTTCTGATCCCTCATGAGCCCCAGGAAGTATTGCGGCTGGCCAGGGTGCTGTTGCACGCCCTGTACCACCGCTTTAGAGTGTAGTTGGAGCCTTTTGGCGTTCCGGGACCAGGTCCGAGCATAGCAGGTTGACAGGGTGCTGGGCACAGCAGCGTCTCCGGCAACGCAGCTGCCAGAATGTTCCTTCACGGATGGGCACGGGCCAGTCTTTCTGCGAGTGAAACCAACCCGCTTTTCCACTGTGGAGGGTTCATGTACCTGAGTTTTGCGGATTTTGTGTACTTTCTCAGTTCAGGTGCTGAATGCTTCAAGTGCGAGAAATATGTGGTGTTCATAACATTGCACGACGAGAGCCAGAGTACGGGATCACGCAGCTCTCCCTGGCCATTCTCGCCATCCTTGATCGAGCACTGCGTTCTTTGAACCCTTGCTCCGAGCTTCAATGCCAATGTGGAGCAGGGCTGACACCAGGTTCGTGAAGAAAACTGTTTAAAGCCACTTGCTTTGCAGGCAGCTTGGCTTAGATGCTGAGACGTGAGGAGACAGCGAAGCATCGCAGCAACATCGTCAAGCTAAATCGAAAGGGCTGACAGCTGCTACAACTTTCGGCAGGTCGAAATCTTGTGCGCCTCCTACGTATTATGAGATAGCACATGACACACGGATTCTGAGCTATTTCCCTAGGTTGTTTTAAAGCTATTCGGCATATGTTGAAATTCTTCGACCCCCATACCGCTCCAAGCTTCCCTTGAAACCGGAACCGATGAGGTGCATCAGGAATCTCTCGGGAGAGACACAGTTTCGACCCAAAGTCCGCTCCCCTAGGCCGCAGAAGCGCAAAACCCCCAAGCCCGAACCTAAACTCGAAACCCTAATACAGGGGCCTGAATAGCTACCTATACTTTTGTGGGGGTTCCGAACTATAATCATTGCTTAATGGGCCCCAACACCCTATTCTAATTATTAAGGCCCCTATATTAAGCACGCAGCCCGCTAGGTTTACCAGCCTGTGAATTAAGCCCCAGACACTCAGCAAGAATTGGAGCTTTGCCGCCTCATGGGGTGCCCTGCCCATAACAGTGGCCCCTGCACGTTATCTACCCCCAAGCAGGCGATTAAGGCTCATTATCTTCATTACAGTATAATTCCACATCAGGCGTTGCGATTTAATTTAGGGGTTCCTGCTGGTCGAGGGCCGTTTAAGCTTGTGGGGTTCAATGTTCCTCATGTTTCTTACTGTTGTCTTTTGGTGGGTTTGTTGGGAAAGACTGCTATCTGTGAGTGTTTGCCCCAAACACCAAACACTGTTCAGGAACGGTAACGCCCCCGAGCCCCGCGACCTTGAATTTGTATCCGGATCCCAAGATGATGGCGCTCTTTGTGACGCTGCTGTTGGAAGGGGCACCATTGTTCTATGAAGTGCTGCCACGGCCTCAGCCATTTGTTGCTTGAGGGAGGGGCTACACATGATCATGGCTATATAATATGTTCTTATCATTGCTGTGAGGCATTGCTATAGAAGTGATTGTTCGTAGCTCTCCTCTTCCTCCGCATGCTGGCGCTACCACTACCACAACGACTGCCACTACCACGACCACTACCACTACTACTACGACGACGACTACCAGTGTACTACTACCACCACCGTTATTTAAGCTATGGAAAGGGAAATTGCCAATTAGAGCCATTGGCAATCATCACGAACTATTATCGGATATAAGGACAGAAGCAATACTCTGGCAGCAGTAATGATGAGACAGCAGGTGCTAGTGCAATGAGGTGCATGTAGAACAACTATATTCCAGAATAATGTTTCTAACTAGGAGAGCAAACATGAAATCTGACATGGCAGCGATACTTGTGGTACAGGCAGGAGTCGTCAGGTATGGTTGATTCATTGTCTCTGATGTCTGCGACGGATGGACCCAGGGTTTTGGGGGGCTTCTTTCAAGGGTCAAGTTCAAGGTTCCAATGTATGACTCAGGCCTTTGATGCTTCAGGGCTTTTGTCAGCTCTTGGAGCGTCTCGATTTGTGGGTTTCTTGTTATGACCACCCATCCTCTCTCTCTCTCGGCCCACCCATGAAGCGACTCCAGTGTCCAGTGTTCAGAGGTCGAAGGGCCCAGGCAGCTTGTATGAGGTCTTGCCTTCCTAATGAATGCACATCACCCAAACAACTACAAACCCCCAAACCCTAAACCCTGAAGCCTGAGCCGAAAGGTCGGGATACCATCTGGTGCGATTCGCCATTGCGGCACTGCTTTTCACCTTGGCTCAGGGACTGGCCCGGATCTTACATAGGGTGTAGGGTTAGGGTTTAGTTGAGGGCCTAGGGCACGGTTTAGGGTCGAGGAAGTCAACCAAGATCATCATTGTGATTGCTGCTGTTGTCGTTGCTTTTTGGCTCATGTTGAGTAGTGGTAGAAGGGTGGTTGCCTTTGCCTTTGTTTGTTGGCGTGTTTGCATCATCAGTCGTCTTCTTGATGCTGCTGTTGCTCTTTCTCCTCCGGTAGAAAACACAACAGCAGTAGCACGGTTCGACAACCCGAAAACCTTCCCCAAACCCACAAACCCTAAACCCGAAAGCGCGCACACGTCGAGGAACAGGAGGGCCCTCGAAGCAGAAGCAAGCACACGCAAAAGCGAAGGTCCTCACTGCCTTCTGTGTGGGTGCAAGCCCTGTCGAGGTTGTCGGGGGCCCGAGCAAATCGAGGGCTGAAGCGTTAGGGGCGAGTATAGTAAGCTCTGTAGCATCCCTTATAATTCGTAGCTTTTATGAAACCCTTCAGAGCCGTCATGTTAGCCCTTGCATCCCTGAAAGGGACCCTCGGATCTAGGGCTCTTCATCTGTGAACTGGCCGACAAAGGGGACAGTCATGGGAGCCGCGGAACAAATTTAAAAGCATTGAAGCCCAAGTTCAGCTTATATGACGAACATGAAGTAGCAGTGTACATGTCCATGTGCAAGATGTAGAAACTAGCTTTTCTTGTATGTGTGGAAGCTCAATGCTCGTCAAGATAGGTGAAACCCCCACCCTCTATACTTCAACCACTGGACTACTTTCTCTAGGTGCAGGTTCAGGGCCATACTGCAGGAGCAAGTAGGGCTTGCCGAGTTAGACTAGGGAGATGAGGAGACCTACACTTGCGGAAAAACAAGCACTTGGGTTGTACTTTTACATCCAACAGACCTCTGATGTCATTCTGAGGTGACTTTCGGCTACATCCACATGCCAGTGTCAGCTGTGCCGGAAGCCGAGCCCAGCTGCAGCATCGAAGACGTTTCGGAGTACTCCGAAGGATGCCGAGGGCATCCCTTTTTGATTTGATTTGGACATCGGTGTGTTTTAGCTCGCTGGCATCAACGGGGCAAAGCAACGGTTTAGAGGAGTTTCAGTACCTTTGGTGGCATTGCTCCTCTACAACCGCCATGCTCCGCTTCAAACGATGGTAAGAGCCTGGACGGAAGCTCGGTTCCACCATCTATGGAGCCCCAGAGCCTTCGAGGCCAAACCCGAAAACGCGAAGCCTGTGCTGAGGCTTAGCTACTTCGCCTTCAGCAGGCGTCCCCCAGACATTTTGAGGAGTTTAGGTTTTAGTGGTCTTGGGCTTAGGTTGTCTAGGGTTCTGAGTTTAGGGTTGCGGAGGGGGAGCTGACAGGACTTGAGGGACCCTGGGTTGCTCATAAACTTACGTGCAGCCACGATCTGGTTCCAGTTGCACCTTCGTGGCGCTGATCTGTTGTGGCTCTTAGGGCCTTTGTATATAATACCCGTGTACTGCCGGGGCGAATAGGAGGAACCCGGGTTTGGATGTCATATCTTGGCTGGCGGCGCCTGAACATCCTGACGTGCTCACAGCCCCCAAAACGGAGGTTCGCGCTTGCTGCAATCATCGTTGCTAGATCAAAGGTACTGCGATTTCTGGCTCTAGGCTCAGGATCAAGCGCTCAGGCTCAGGATCAAACTACACAATTTTGGGTTGCCTCTGAACCGACGTCCGTCGGCTTTGCAGGTGAGTCGTTTCTGAGTTTTCGGGCATGTTGGAACGTCAGTAGCTCGAGTTCCTTATATAGTACGTGCCCAGAAAACCCGTAACTCTAAAATCGACCTCGGCATCCTGATTCGCTGGAGCCTGTCTGAAATCCGTCCTTTTCACCAGGCGCTATGGACGCTTAGAGTGGCTGTCGGCAGGGGTCCTGGACTGGACGATTTCGGAGTTATTCCAGGTCTGCTGCTGCTGCTGCTGTTGATGGTTATGATGACGGGTCGTCATGCGTATGACTGCGATGACTACTGCAATACTGGTGCCTGTCATCACTGTCATGACCACGGAGATGCCTCCTGCAACTACGATCATCACAACCACTACTACTCTGAGGGTGTGCAGTGCTTCTACCACCACTACCATCAGCATCATTACCTCTTCCAGTACTATTGCTTCTGCTGCTTTTCGTGCCTCCTCCTGCCTCTCCTCCCTCTACTACTCCTACAACTCCTCCTCTTCCACCTGCCCCCAGTCCCACTCCCACTGCACTTCGACTCCGGCCACTGCTACTGCCGCTACTGCGACAGGCCGGCGACAGGTCTTCGAGTTTAGGAGATGTCACCGCTGTCAAGGATTGTTCTCGCACTGTGCTGGCAGTGAGCTTTTGGGCTCCCCTGTGTTCAGGACACTATCGGAGGTTGCTGTGGGCCTGGGGCATGACGACACACAGGTCTCAAGCCGATGCCTCTTGTCTCTCAGCCCTGCACACGGCCATTGACCAAACCACCCACGAAAGCCGACACCGGCATCACCTCAACCCTTCAACCCCAACTCTACAACCACTTGGATGCCAAACTGCGGCCCCTGAAGACCTAAACCGACTGTTGATGCCCTCCAGACCCTTTGAACCTCTACACCCCTGACGTTGGCAACACTTACAAGTCCTTCGCGGAACCCCTATAGATCCCTTAAAGGAACCCCTATAGATCCCTTAAAGGAACCCCTATAGATCCCTTAAAGGAACCCTTATAGATGAAGGTCGGGATGCTGACTCTTGGGGTCCTGGCCTTCGTCCTGCGCGCCCCTCTGGAAGACAGCTGCAGGTTGGCACTCCATCACGGCTCATCTCTGTGTGTGTTGGGGTTGAGAGGGTTTAGTCTTTGGGGCGGAGAGTTTTGTTGGTTTAGGGTTTAGGGTGTGCAATAGGGGCTTTTGCTTCGGCTGACTGGACGACTGACGATCGAAGACGCCTGTTTCCAGACCACCCATTTCAAGACATGAGGTTGTGGCCGCACCTGTAAACCCATCATGAACCCAAAGCCAAAACTATGAACCAACAAACCACAAAGCCATAGACCGTCTGACCCTAAACCCATCAACCAATATTGCCATAAACAAAATAAACCCGAACCCGTATTCCCTAACCCCCCTCCAAAAAAAGCCTAAAATAGACTGAGGCTCCGGGAGGAGTCCGCCGAAGGAGAGACTCTGCAGTCCGGGCCCAGGGTGGGAGTTCGGCGATCCCTAAGGCCTAAGGGTCCATATCAGGGGCCCAGACTTCTAACCTTAGGCCTTGGATTTTGAGTTCCCTTTTCGGATGGTTGGGACCTCTTAACGGTACCTTTTGGTTTTGGTGTTCCTTTCAAGGTGCTTTTTGGGGTTTGTCGGGTGCTTTGGGCATTAGTGCTTACGAGTAGGGGTAAGATTCAAGGCTTCCAGTATCCGGAATTGGGTGTTTGGTGTTGAGGGTTTTGGGTTGGGATGTAGGTTTAAGGCTTTAGGGTTCCAGGATTTAGGGTTTAGATCTTTGAGGCTCAAACTTTGAGGTTTATCGACTTGCTTCCGGATTCATTGGTGTTCAGGAGTGGTGGAAGTCTCAGATCCATGTGAGCATCTTTAGGTTTCCATCTTGCTCTAAGTGAGTCTTTTGGGGATTAGTTTCTTGTCCTGCATTGCTTCGGAGTTCAATGCAAGGCGCACGGAACTGAAGTTTTGTATCTTGAAGTCATGCTGCTTGAGATTAGGGTTTAGGGTTTAGGACTTAGGGGAGACACTCGCCAACCTTCCTTGGGCCCACCACCATCGAAGCGTCAAGAATCGCCCACGAGACACGAATAGCGGGCCCGAAGACGGCTTAGACTACGAGCCTGGAGCCCTGAAGGACTCTAAATCTGGGAGTTTCCGAAAATTGGGGGGTACCTTATTTTGAGGTCCTTGTTTTAAGGATCCTACTATTTAGGGTACTCCATCAGGGTCCCCTGTTTTCGGAAACTCCCATCTACAACCGGAAACCTAGAACCCTGAAGCCCAACGAAGCCCCACAACACCCGAAGACCCAACTCCAAGAATCGGCAAGAATCATCCTGAATCCCTAAGATCCTGATCAAATCCTGTAGCCCCATAAAGCCCAAACCAAAGCCCCTAAACCACCAAAATCCCTAACCTTACCATAGTAGGGTTTTTCGGTTCCTTTCGGGGCTCGGTTAAGGGTACTATAGAATAAATTAGGCCTGTAGCAGGCCTCATGGTTACGCTTGTAGCAAACATGATGAGACTCTTGTAGAACTAAGCCTCCAAGGACCCAACCCCTGAACCCCCAAAAAGGACAACCTCACCAAATGGCCCTAACCCCTAAACCCTAAATCCCTAAACCCCAAACCCTAAACCCCTAAACCCCCAAACCCCTAAACCCCAAACCCTAAACCCTAAACCAAAAGCCCGAAACCCCAAGCCCCCAAAAAGCCCGATGCTTGCGAGGCTAGAGCTCCATGGCTTCCTTCTCGTTATGGTGCGCCGCGTTTAGGGGTTTAGGGGTTTAGGGTTTAGGGCTTAGGTTTTTAGGGTCTAGAGCTCTATGGCATTTAGATTTCGCACGGGTGTTGGGGGTTCTGCAGGTGTGTTTCGTGGTGTCTTTCGCAAAATCTAGGGGGTTTAAAATCATTGCCAATACTATTTTTGAGGGTTCCTGATTATTTTTTGGGGGGGTTCCTTATTATGGTTGTAGTATGATGTACCCGTTCTAATCATTTAAGCCCCTACATTGCTCAATGGGTCCGAGAACTTCGTGATTTGGGGTTCAGGACTGAGAATTTAGGGCTTAGGAAAGAAAGCTTAGGGTTTAGGAAGGAGAGTTGAGGGTTTCGGAATGAGAGTTTAGGGTTTCGGAATGAGAGTTTAGGGTTTAGGGATGAGAGTTTAGGGTTTAGGGATGAGAGTTTAGGGTTTAGGAATGAGAGTTGAGGTTCTAGGGTCCGGGAGTTGGGATTTAGGGTAGAGGTCCCTACTCGGCTAGATTCTGCTTCTCTGTCGTTGCTTCTTGCTTGTTTCTGCTTCCCGAACCCTAATGCTAGATGGCAAACCCCGAAACTCCAGCACTTTTCAACCCCCAGGCTCCCCAATCCTAGGCGGTCGCTAGCGGATGACATCGCAGAAACACGACACCAAAAGTGGATGCGCACAAGCCAAAGAGTTGAATCCCCAGATAAGTACTCTTATCATGACTTCTACTATCCTACTGGAAGTGTTATGTGAGCCGCTGTTCCAGGGATCCGTCTTCGCTAGCGTCTTGGGGTCCATCATCGCCGAACGCATCTTCAAAGACAGGCCTGCATCCCATGGTTTCCCCGGGGATTTAGGCGTTTCGGGCTTTTTGGGGTTCAGAACTATCTACTGAGACTCGGAGTTTGAGACTGAGACTCGGAGTTTAGGGCGGCTTAGGGTTGGCAGGGTTCAGGATGTGTTTCGATGAGGAATGCCGGGATTCCCCGAACCCTAAGAAAGCCTTAAACCCCAAAGACTCTATACCTCTTAAAACAGCGAATCCCTCAGGCCTATGAGGGATTCGTGGGAGTTTTGAGGGGGGACATCAGGAACGAGACTATGAAGGCTTCTCTGGGGAAGGACCTCCGAAACCTTCTATGAAGTCGGAAAACCCTTGGTTTTGGCTGTTGAGAGTTTGGGGTTTAGGCTTCGCGCTTGCTGCTGCGCAGATACAAGTCGTAGGATCTAGGGTTACGACATTTAGGATGTGGGGAAAACCTTACAAAGGCCTTTCGGGCGTGATGTTTGGCGGCTGCTGACACTTACATCTGCGGATTGGGGCTGACTGATAGCTCTAACGCCCGAGGATCGGGGTGCAAAAACAATCAGATTCCGGTTGGAGGGTTTGTGCGAGCATGTCAAAACGCAGGCTGCCCGCGGTGTGATATTGGTGCCCGTTCAGGCTTTGGGTTGAAGGGTTTGGGCTTAATTAGGGTCTTAGACTTTCTCAATACTTCAGAACCGAGCCGTGGTAGCCGGATCGGCCCAAAGCGTGGCGACGTTTCGCCTTCCGGCTGCTGCCGAGGCATGCTTGAAGCATGGGATGTGCTCAGGGATCGTGATTTTCTAGGCACGGGTTTAGGATGCAAGTTTTGCGGGACTTCTGTATTTGGGGGCAAGGGAAGACAGAGAGAGAGAGAGAGAGAGAGAGAGAGAGAGAGAGAGAGAGAGAAAGTGCAAGGGTGACTTCCACACACGTGGTAGGGTTGCGAAAGAAGGAAAACAACCAGACTCTCCCGAATGAAAACTACGCATGTTAGCATTTTTGGGCCTTCATCATCTGCTGTCCCTTTGTTTGCAGATTCAATGAAGAGAGTCTGGGGGAACACCTTCAGAGATACACGATCGTATCACAAGATACACCTCGCCTGCACGGGGGACGGAAATCAACTGGACTCCCGCAATCATGTAGTATGTGATCTCGGGTATCAGCAGGTTGCTTTTTTCCTGTTTAATAAAAGTTCTGCCGACCATAGTGTGACTGAGGGGGAAATGCAGAGGTCTCATGTCAAAGAGAGCAGATGGGCACCTACTTTCGCTCTCGCATACTTTATGACATTTTATGACTTTAGTCGCCATGGTGCAATATGCTCGTTCTTCACTCCCCGGGCCCAATCAATGAATTGGGTGGGCGAATCAGCCCGGCGACTATGACCGGTCCCCAAGCTCAGGAGAGAGACAGAGAGAGGTCAGAGATTTGCCATCCAATCACCTCCGCAACAGTCGGGGGCGCACAAGCGCGCGGTGTAGGGGGTCAAACCCCTACACCCTAGCCCTGGCGAAAGAAAGAGAGAGAGAGAGAGAGAGATAGAAAGTTGGAGACGGGTACGCAGCTTCGTGATGACACTGAGCCATGCATACATGCATGTACAGAAGTATGTGCATACAATATGATATGTGAGAGTGCGGTATGTGTATTTCTTTGGGTCTCTCTCTCTCTCTCTCTCTCTCTCTCGCTCGAGTTGGTATGTGGGACGTTGCTTGGGGCAGAGGGACATGTTGCTTTGCCGTCGCCTCAGCACTCTGACTGCACGAGTTAACTTAACTGGTGCCAGGCACGCAGTTGTGTCAGATGTTCTGAGCAGGTGCAGTAAACTTCCCGAACTCCTAGCTGTATTCCTACAGCACTCTGGCGAGAGAAAGTTCATCAGATTGTTATGGGACGTTTGGGAGCAGTGACCGCCATCGCCCTGCCTCTCTGCTTTTCCGGAGGTCGTCTGCATCGGCCCTAGGAAAATGAAGCAGCATGGCTGCAATGGCGTTTTCATGGGAGTCTTTCGTGATTGATGAAGAACCGTATGTGCCATAGCACAACCTCTGTGCCAAATGGTGTTGATAAATGACTGGTTTCATTGTTCAAGGTGTTTGGGTGCGATTCAACAAGAAATCAAGTCTGGCTCTTGCGACTCCGACTGAACCCCAGAATGAACCACATCCATTCCATAGTGAGAGCCCTATTTAGTTTCAGACTTACAGTCGGCACTGTATTCTTCTGAGAAGCGAAGACCACCGATGGTTCGGGGTGTACTGCTCAATGAGGCTTCGGGCACTTGAGGTGAAGTGAGAAATTTGTTAAGGGTCGGGGATACAGTTCATGGCGCAGTGTTTATTCGTTGGCCTGCTGTGCAGAGGGTGTGTTCCTTTCTCCCTACGTGTCGTTTTAATTTAAGAAGACGAGAAGCCTATCCGCAGAGGGTTGTCTCGCAGGTGAAAGATCATCGGAGCCTGGCTAGTCGCATGCAGCTTCACATCGAGTCCTTTGACTACTGTTGGACGTTCCTTCCCATTCGAGACTGAGGCTGCTACTCACTGCCATGGCGGCGCTGAGTTCGTCTGCATTTGCGACGAAAGTCCTGGTGAATTCTACCGCTTCCGGAGGAGAGTCTAGGAATCGCGGACTTTACCCCTCCAGAGCCGAAAGCGATTTCCTCATAACCAGTGTTGAGCTTTGAGTTGAGTGTGTATGACTGAGGGTTTTGGAACCTTGTGGTTGAGGCAACCTAGCCGGCAAGCCTGTGTGCTGCATGGGTTGAGCAATCAGGGTACACCATATAGGACTCCTCCCTTAGCCCAAATTCCGATGTAAAAGCTTGAAACATCCGGAAACCCACAACCTGAAACTGCGTCGCGGAAGTCGTGTAATTGAAGATAGAGGTGAGAGATGAAGAACCCTTCTGGCTGCAAGCCTTCCGTCCCCGTTCCCGGGCTTTAAACCGAGATCCTAGACCCTTCAACTCCTGCCGGTTGAAGTTGTTGGAAGTTCAGAAACATCTGTACGGGCCTGTGGTCCTGCAGTGTGTGAAGCCCCCACTTGCTTAAGGCTTAATTTCGGTAGCTAGCTGCAGGCCTGTGCGAATACTTGCGAACCCTCCATTGAGCTCCTTATCAACCCCTCGGCCGCAGTAAAGTGGCAAGCTGCGGCGCAAGCCTTGGCAGGAGCACTGCCAACTTGCAGTGGGACAGAGCCTGGTCAGAATGTGCCGAGTTTCTGGCGTTGGGGGGTGTTCGGAGTTGAGAAGGGGGGTGTAGGTTGCGGCAATCTAAACCTGACCGCACGAAAATTACAACTCTGCTCTTGGCACCGGCGTTCTTCCTTGAGTTTTCGTGCTCCGTATCTGGCTTTGCTAGCAGGGGCAGGTAGGGCAGGAGTAGCGGCATGCAGCGGTGTTCCTACTTCTTCTTACTTAAACTTCCATGGTCGTCATCTGCTGTGAGCTATCACAGCCAACAGAGATGAACCTTGGGACGTCTGAAGACATGACTCCGTACCGTACAGCTCAGGCCAATGGTAACTTCCATTTTGTGAGTCCATGAATGAGTCCCTGAAGTGTGATTGACTGGACCCTGATGCCAATGTGGTTCACGTCCTGCAAGGACGACACATGGTAAGATAGCTCCTGTGCCATGATTCTGGACCATTCTGGATTTACAAGACAGCACATGGCACAGTATCGCTTCTAGGATCTATCCCCAGATATCGAGGCTGCCGTCTCATGCTCAGTCCTAATCCCCCGAACTGCTGCACCTCGACGTCGCCTCGCGAAGAGCCCCTTACAGCTGAGGAAATCCTCAAAGTAACGCAGAACGATGCCTGGCGATGTGATCACTTCAGTGGCGCAGAGAACCAGGATGCTTCTTTGCTGCCAGCTTTCTGGTTCAGGGTTCAACGGGGCCTTTCCTCAGGTTTGTGGCCACACGCTGTCGCTGGGTTTTCCCACCCGGTGTGCGTTTTCGCGTTCTTAAGATGCCATCGAAGCTTCAGACACCCAGCCCGGGGCATAGCCCCAAGCGCTGGAATCCGAAGACCCGAAGCACCCGCCTCTATGACACAGCTATTCCACCCGGCCTGCCATCCGCCCAGATGGCGCATGGAACTTTCCGTTTCGACGGCGAAACGGACTTCCGAGAAGCAGAACCCGAAAGCCAAAAGCTGGCAAATGCTGTAAACCCCTTAAGGTTAGAAGCACCATGACCGACCTCAGGAAGGAAAATGCACGGAGAAGTACCAGAAGCAAAGCAGTGTTGTCACCGGCAAGGCAGGATCCCATAATGATGTGTTGGGAATCCGGCATAAGAGAGTTTGCTTGAGGTGCTTGTTCTGATGGGGCATCGAGTATTCAGAGTCGAAGAGGTCTATGCCTGCTTCACATGCTGATTCCTCGGTCCAGGTTGGTAGGTTCTCAAGGCGCGCAATACCCCTGACTTGCGAAACCCTCTGCCCTGATGCGTATTCTTTGTCAGTTCTATTGGGCTCTGGCTTTGGGAAACGACTCTTTGGGATCTTTTGGATAGGCGCCGGACGTTCTTTTGCGCGTGCACATCTCAAGCCTCTGTTGTGGATCCGGTTCAGGGTTTGTGATTTCGAGTTCGGCTGAGGGTTTGGGGCTCATGTCGGATTTTCGCTGGGCTCGCCAGCCCAGCGAAGACTCTAAAAAAGCATCAGTGCCAACTCCTTGCGAACACCTCCGGAAACCCCTCGAGGGGAAGCCCGCCTCAATGCCATGCAAACCCTTGTTGAAGTACTCTGAAAGCCAAAAGCCTAGGCCTAAAGTCCTTAAGGGACCCTGTAGCAGGACCTGTTCTTCCAGTGTCAGCCGAAGAAGGCAGGCCTCCGCTTCTCAGCTTGGAATCTGAAGCGGCGGAGTGCAGGTCTCGCAGGCTTGGGCTCCACTTGTGGCCCAAAAGACCTGCCTTTTCGAGGAACCACGTATACAGTAACCGTAATAAGGAACTAGCCCTACAAAGGTAGGTCATTTTCGGCTACAGGCAGGGCTTCCGGATTCCGTCTTGCCAGCCTCGGGCCCCAAACTCTGGCAAGCCTCAGTAGGACTTGTCCCGAGCCCTCCTTGCGCAGCATCCAAGGCAAGTTTAACTGCGTCACGGGCCCGCAGTGCAGCCCTCGCTAGCTCGTGGCACCCCGGCGCAGTTGAAGATTTTTTGGCATGGCACGCTGTGGGGCATGTGTGTCAATGTGAACTCTTTCGGCTGAGAGGACTGCAAACGGTGCAAGAGAGAGAGAGAGAGAGAGAGAGAGAGAGAGACAGAGACAGAGACACATTGTCAGAGGCTTGGAGTGGCTTGGCCTCGGCTCGAGTCTTCTCCCGCCTCCGATCGCTGCTGTTGCCCCCCCGCCCCGGACCCTCGCCATGTTTGCAGACCTAGTCTTGGAGTCGCTGGCAACTTGCCTAGCTTTCTTCTTCATGACTTCCCCCTTGACTCAAGCGATTGACGTCATCAGAACACCCGCAAAAGTGAAGCACGTCAACCCGGTGAATCTCCTGGGCTTCTTGCTGAACTGCGTGACCCAGCTAGGCTACGGGATCTTTATGCCAATACCCCCAATGATCCGATGCAATGCCTACGGCGTCGCCGTAGGACTTTTCAGCATCGCGACCTGTTGGTATTTCGCTCTAAAGAATGCGAGTGCAGAGCGGTGGAACATGAAGGCCTGCGTTGGCACCATATCGGTTTGCGCATTATCTGGCTTGATCTTTGCATATGCTGGGCTGGGGGGTGGAGGGGCCGCCGCGAGGGTTGGTAGTCTCGGCATCCTTGTGTCTATCATCATGTATGCGGCTCCCCTCTCAGTCTTGCGGGAGGTTCTTCAAACAAAATCTTCGAAGGCCTTGCCGGGGTCACAAATCTTCATGGGTTTCCTGAACAGCCTTTGCTGGTTCGCTGTGGGCATTCGCCGTCAGAAGATACCGGTCTGGGTTCCCAACGTGATCGGCATGCTCCTGTCACTCGCGCAGCTGGCGCTGATCTTGAAGTTCCCAGACAGTGCAGAGCATGGCATCGAGGAGCGAAGACAGGAGTCGCTCCTTCCTGTCGCAGTAAGCTTCCAGAATGACGCGTCCAGCGGGAAGGACTGGCAAGGTACCAGACCAGAGCGATACAGTTTGGGGGATCCAGGAGAATGCCGTCGAGTAAGAGGAGAAGCAGTTTGTACAGCTCTGGGGCCTTTGCGTAGTGTGAGGAGATGCAGAGGCGTCACTTATCGACTGTGCTTGTTCTTTTTGTGTCGTCTGTGTTTGTGTTCTGTCTCTCTCGAAACCGTCAAGCGAGTCCGCTTCCTGTAAGGACGCTTAGAGGACCTTACACAGGACTTCCAGATCCTTCGATCTGAATTGACAGCCCCTAAGGAGTATGCCCCCGCCCCCCGCCCCCTCACATCGCTGTACAGAACAAAAGATCTGGACAGGTGTACAGCCCAAGTATGGGCTCCGGGTGCATGGCTCGTAAGTTCGCAATCTTCTTTCCACATTAGAAGCTTCATCGGGTCGTGTGAGTTGTCAGTATGGACCAGCACCCCCGCCCCGACATTCACAAGCAACAGCCTAGACTTTAATTGTGGATATGGGAGTTTCCGAAAATAAGGGACCCTAATGTAGTACCCCAAATAGTAGGATCCTTTTTATAGGGACCCCAAAATAAGGTACCCCTAATATTCGGAAACTCCCATATAGAGACTCGCAAAGTCGCGTGGCTCTTTCTTGGGTCGACTCTTGAGCCCTGCCAATCCAATACATTCGAACACTAGGTTCCTGAGTAGTACCCTTCTGCCCTTTTGATCTTGGGGCCCCCTTATCAAAGCCGAAGTAGTAGGGGAAAGGGTGCCCTTATTACCATATACAGGGGCCACGCAGGAACCTAGAATACCCTCGGGGCCAGACTGAGTCGAGTTTCCTCTCTCCGCCGCAGGCGCAAATAGATGACTTCTGGGTTGCTTTGTATGACTGGCCGTCGCGGCGCGTGAGCCGTAATTCAATAGCAATACTATAGTGGTAATAATAATATGTTGCTAATAATCGTAGTAAGATAATCATATAGCTGTGCGATTCATGGTGATGGCGCCGCAGGTGTTTCGTTTTAGAGTTTAGTGTTGCGATGTTTCGGATTTAGGGATTAGGGTTTAGGGATGTTCAGGGTTGTTCCGGGCTTGTAGGGTTCCGGGCTGTTAGGCTTTTGGGGTTTGTTCTGCGGGGTTAGAGCTTTAGGGTCTCAGGGTTGACGTCACGTTGCCTAGGGTCAGATTCCCGCGGTCAGGGGCCCACCCGCTGCTTTTGTCAGGGATATGAAAACAGAGATAGCTTGAGAGTCCTGACGGCTACTGCCCTCCGTCTCTTTCTCTCTGTCTCTCTCTCTCTGTCTCTCTCTTTCTCGCTCTCTCTCTCACTCACTCTCTCTCTCTCTCTCTCTCTCTCTCTCTCTCTCTCTCAACCCGACACCCGCGATCCCTAAAGCCTACACCTACACCTGAAACTTTCGAGCCGAAACTCTACGCCTCGGAAACCCCAAACTCCTACACCCTAAACCGATGCATGCAAGCATGTGTGTATGAATGTATGGATGTATGTCTGGATGCAATTGTGCATGTCTCTGTCTGTGCATGCCAGGATGCCTGCACTTTGTAATGGTAGTGGTGTTGGTAGTTCTAATGGCAGTGTAAGCACAAGCGCAATTAGAGCGTCCATGCGTTGTGTATGTGTGGCATGATGAGGCGACATCTTCAACCAAGTGGAAAGAGATCCGCATCCAGCCACAATGACATTGGAAGCTGATTAACATCACCAGAGTCCAGAAACTCTGAATTTCGAAGCCCCGAAAAGCTTCTCCAGGGATGCTTTGTGCCGTCCTCTGAGCTCGGAGCAAGAAGACTTCCAGCTGAGAGCAGCAAAGATGAGTCGTGGATAGCGCTCTTGTGTGCAAAAGATATTCTGCATTGCTGTCGATGTTGAATTGGTGCTGTCTGCAGCTTGCATGGTGCAGTGCTGTAGGGGCTTTGGGAGGGGTGGTGGTCGGAATGCAGGGTTGTAGGAGCAGACACTGCTGCTGCTGCTGCATCTTTATGCTGTGCCCGATAGCAAGCTTCGAAGCAGGTCTGGCCGCGAAGGCAAGCAAGACCGGTCTGGCCCTTGAGTGCTGCACAGGCTGCGAGCTGGTCTTGAGGTCAAGCATTGGGGCGACCTCTGTGCAAGGAATTCACATGAGGTCATCGACCGAGCCAGTAGGAGAAATGCCCCTCGAGGGTAGACGCCCCGAGGCCCTTTCGCCCTGGGCTTGTAAGTCTTCCAGCTTGGTGGGTGTTGGTACGTTCCAAGAAAAGCTTCGCAGTCAGCAAGGAGCTGCGAGCTTTCCTCAAGACTGATTGCAGGCGATGGATTCTGCAGGGTTTGGGGTTCAGGGCCCTTTTCTGGACTACTGTCTTGACCTTACCAGGCAGATCTTGAGCTGACTCCTGCAACCCGTTTCCCACAGGAGCAATGCCCGGTCCTAAACCGTTACAACCTAAACCCTAAACCCTAAACCCCTACAAGTCCCACCATTGGTTCATGGAAGTTTGACTCATCTGAAGAATCGTTTGGATTTTCTGTGCGGTCTGGAGGACAGGCTTTTCCCAAGCCAATGGCATCCTGACGGGGGCTGCAAAGTATACGATCTCGAGGAGTCTTCTTCTTGGGCCCCCGGTTCAGTCCCCGTGAACCCTCGTCCGATGATGCAGTTGGACCTGTGGGCATGTCTCACGAAGCCCGCAAGCTTAGGTTCTACGCCATCAAGCTCCATCTGGACTTGTCGGCCCTGATCATCGCAGCGAAGCGCTTGGAACCTGCTATCAAGACTTGGCGTCATGTCCTGCATAATTAGGATGCTTGTCCTATGTGATGCCTATTTTAGGGGTTTAGGGTTTAGGGTAACTATACAGCATATACAGCTATGTTACAAGCCATGTCACAGCATACCCGAGAAGGTCGCTCTGGTGGCCCGGGTCTTCTAGCAAGAGCAATCAGAATCAAAGCACGAATGACATGGCTGACAATAAGATTTCTCTATCTGCCGTAACAATACTCATGCAGCACTTCCAGGAATATGGATGTACTATGCTGCAGTGGCTTAGATAGTGGTAAAAGACCTAGCAACTAGTACTTCCCTGCATATTGCTCTGCTTCTAGTGGAATTCTTGTCTCATGTTCCGGAACTGAGAGTGAGAGTTCTGAGGATTCAGTTGAGGTTTCCGGGGTACAGTTCCAGAGGAGCAAGACAGTGGAGACAGAATGGAACTACGAAAGGACACCTTGAAAGACGGTGCCATGAGTCCGGCTTTTTGGGCACAGGTCCGCAGTTCCCATTCGTCGCCCCCGGGCATTCCCAAACTCTAGGGCCCCAGCACGGCAAAGCAAGAAGCAGAACCCGAGCCAACCAACCCTGAAGCCTGAAGCCCTAACACCCGAAATCCGAAAAGAACCCCAACAGGCCAAAACAACCACAACTGCAAGCTACCGCCAACGTCCCCCCAACATCCTGCAACTGACAGATGAAACAACATGCGAGGCAGTTTTGTGGTCCATCCCGCTGCACAAAGCGGCCACGGCCTCAACTCAGATCTCGTTGCCGGGTCGTACATAGTGATCGTTGGTGTGGCGGGCGTCTGGACATGGCTCCGAGCGTCGGGCTCAGCGGCCTTGAGCAAAACTCTTGTCGCCAATGCTCCTTCCACGATTCAAGATAGGAACAAACGCAGTAGGTTTGCCGGGTAAATGTAGTTGATGTATGTTGATGTTCGCCAACACTCCTGCCAGAATGTCATGATCATATGGAAATATCGTATGTTGTTGTTCGCACGCGGCTTCGCCTTCACATGCAGGGACGCGCACGCTCTGCGATCTTCTCTGCCTTGGACGCTACTTTCTCGTCTCTATCACGAGTGGGGTGGTGGCGTGTAGCGGTGCGTGGATTTCATTTCTATTGAACTGGCTGTCATGTAATGCAGAGAGGCGCAATATATCTATACATCCATCTCTATCCCGAGCCAAGATTCTGGGATTTTGGCTAGGTATTTCTACCATTCCCAAGCGGCAGATCAAGATTTAGGGGCTTGTAAACAGTATGCGGAGCAACAGATGAACTCTGCTCTGCGCCGTCCCTGCGCGGGTAGCATTTCGGGGTTTAGGGCCTTTTCAGTAGCGTAGGATCTGGCGTGTGGGGTTTTGTCGTTTCTCGGGTTTCTTGTAATCCGACACTACGACATGAGACCGAACACGGTACAAATATTCCTGGCAACTAGACAAACCAGCGTTGGAACGACTAAGTCTTCAAGGAACGACAGGGGCTAGAGTTCATGGATGCTTTAGACATTAAGCCCTAGGTTCCCAGATATGGGGGTCGCCATAGCTGGAGATGTAACTGCCTCTTGAAGGCCCAAAGCGCGGTGGTATACTGGTCCCGAAGTTGAGAAACCCCAAAACTCGACCTCTTCTGCAACCCCCGAAACCCCCAAAAAACCATAACACCACGACATGCAATAAGCCACGTGTCGCTTGATTGGAGTTTCGACCCTCCCTTTCTGGAGTGGGAGGCCTTGTTCAGGGACTTCATGCTCAAGTGGGAGCGGAGCGAGGCAGCATCGTTGCCTTGAAGGGGCCCAATCCGATGCGAGGGAATTAGGGTTCAGGGTTCAGGGTTTAGGACTCTATGCCCTAAACCCTAAGCCTCCAGACACTTTAGGCTTCAGGTGCTGTCAGGGGGTTAAGGTTGGGTGGTCAAGGCTACAAGGAACTGTGGACTGAAGTGTTTTCTCGGGGCGGAAGGGTCCTTTTGTGCATTTGGGCTTTGATGATTATTTCTTTTTATTTTTTGCGCAAACAAAGGACTCCGTACCCATATAGGGCTTCAGAGCTCAGGGCCTGCATGCTTGGCTACACCCTTAAACCCAAGCTCTACAGGCCTGAACGGCTTAGGGAGATCATGGTTCCGGGCTTGAGAGGCTTCAGGGTTCAAGGCTTGTTTTGATGCTGCCGAGAGGCTTGTGTGTTTGGTGGCATCGGGGCCCTTGGGCTTCTGGGGCTTCATGGCTGTGCAACACAGAAGAGAAAGCCAGTCAACTTTAAGGCTTTGAAGCTCGCAGTTGAGGGGCAGGGCAGACAGGCCGTGCGGTTTTCCGGGGTGGAGGCTTCAGGAGCTCGAGGACAGCAATGTTGAAAGGCCCAACCAACCACTCCACAAGCCTTAGTTCTACCTGGTGTAGATGGAGTTGAACTACGGGCCGCATGTGCCATGCTTGATGCAAGAGCAAGGGGCCTGTGATCTGCGCTGCACGACAAAGCTTTAATCCTAAATCCCTGAGAGCCAATAGATGTAACCTCGAACTCCACACGGCAGTCTAGATCCCGAGCCTTAAACACAGAAATTGAATCCTCATCACAGATCAAGCGGTCCCCGGCAGCTGCGGATGATACTACCAGGTCACTACCATACAGTACCAATGCCGCAACCCACCAGCAAACCTTCGACCCTGACACACACACAAATACGTACATACATACATACATTTTTACAGATATACGTATATGCATATGTATACATACATACATATAGACATATCGACACACAGACATATAATATACATATAATATACATATAATATACATATAACATACATACCTATACAGCTGTACATGTAAACATATAGACATACATACATACATATATACATACGTACGTATGTAAATACGTACATACATTCCATGCCTGCATACATGCAGCTTACATGCATGCATATGCATATGATGTGTACCTACATATACCTACATAGAAATATATATATATATATATATGTATCTTTACATGTGCTATACTATTACATAACCACATTCCCGAAGCGGTTCAGGCATGGTTTGGCGACTGGGGTATACACCAGTCTTGCCAGCTCGTATTGGATTAGGGACAGGTTGTGGGTTTGATTGGCTTACCCAGAGGCTCCATAGTAGTTCCTTTTTGGGATTACCTTAGAGGATCGTATATATGAGCCCCAAATAGGAACTACTTTGGAGCCTTAGGGTAATGCCGGGACTTTGCGGCAAGCTGACTTGTGAGTTCTGCGACTGGCCAAGGACGCACGAATCACAGTGGCAATCTGTCTGACCGTATATTTTCGTGTGTCGCAGGAAGCAGGAGTCTTCCTTCAAGCCACCAATTTCGGAGGTCCTGCTATGCCCAAATTTTACCACTAATTTGAAGACCTGGGGCTCCTCGTGCTACGCCAGGTCCGTAATGGTCGTGGTGATGGTGGCACATGGCTGGGCAGCAGGCATGCAGGGTTTTGGGTTTAAGATGCTTTTCCTCTATGGTTTCTTGTTGAGAGTCTTCTGACCGCAAAACTGCATCTCTACTGGGACGATGGTGTGTTTGTTGTTCAACGCGGGAGCTCCGTGTGGAACTCAAGCCGAAAGTGCTGTTCATGAGTTACGGGCGCATCATGTAGCAATGTTGCCGGAGATAATGCTAGCCAGTGCTATAACGGAGACATGATACGTTGTTGAGGTTAAACGTTTCGTGGCTTCATTCCGCTGCAGCCCATAGATATGCGGAGGTTTCAGGTGATCGGAAGGAATCTGAAACGCGTTTTGGATTTCCCCAAGACCAGAGTTAGTCATCTCCAAACCCAGAACCGCTCGGGGTTAGCAAGGACTTATCACGCGGGAGTTCTCGACCGTGATCAGATCTATCCTCCAAACGCTGGCTTCGACCTCGGGTTCAAGCATGTCTGATTTCTCTGAGCTTCCGTCCATTATCGTTTTCAGGACCACAGTCTTTGGTTATGCGAGGACACGGTAATTTAGAACAACACCGAAACAGCGCAGGTGCTGAACCCACCCCTTTCTTTTCTGGGTAGGACCCTCACTCTTAGGTCCCCGTGTCGGAGTGTTGAGTTCGAAGAATTTCTACAATTTTAAAGCTAAGGTTGGCGGGGGATGTAAATGTAAATACCTGTTGGTCGCGGATGCTTGAAGTCCGAGCTTCGGTGTTCACGGTGGAAGGTCGGAGTGGATGCTCGGTTGCCGTTTCGTCTATGTCTGGATCTCTGTCGGTGGCGCTGGAACTAGGGGAGTTTGGCGTGTGATCCAGCAGTTGCATATTGAGCACAATGCCCTGCACTGCGAGGCAGACCCCTCTCTGCAGCAGAGGGCATCAGGGCTGTTGCTTATGAGCTAGGTTTGAATGCTGAAGCTCAGAGTCTTAGCCCAAGGTGCTCCACTGCATAGAGCCCATTCCCTTGAGAATCCTGCGAGCCACTGGAAGCAACAATTCTCTCGGCTTTCGGCCGTCTAAGGCACTGATCACAGTATTTCTGCTCGGCTGGGGCCCTTGAAGACTCTAGTGTCACCATCTCTTACGGGTGTAAAGTTGAGGGTTTAAGATTCGGTGGTCGGTGGGGTGGAGGGTTTCGTGTCAGCTTCAGTTTTGTTTGGACGGGATGAAGACTGTATGCATTCGCATCCTGGGAGGCCGAAATAAGACGCAGCAAGCGGCACCATACTATGGTAAACACAAAACCCTAAACCCTACTACAACACCCTAAGCTCCAGAGTTTAAAGACTCAGCCCACCGTCCACTCACTTGCAGGGCTCAAGGTTTTTCTACAACTTCTCAGAGGATTTGGAGCTCGAGGGGGGGATTCGTCTCTGCACTCTAGGGCTTCAGGGCCGGAAGGTGTAGCCTTTATGGTTCGTATCCCAAAAAGTGTAAACTGTATCCAGGGCCCAGGCATGGGAGTTTGGGGGGGAGCTCCGCATGGGTGTATCTTGAGTTCAGGTTTTCACCGTAGTTGAGGGTGGCCTCATCAAACTCAGAGGGCCAAGCCAACGTGGTGGAGGTCTCCCTCATATCGGGGTACTGCTTATTGAGGCCTAGTGTCATTGTTGCTTTTTTTGATATTGGTAACTTTATATGTATGCCTTGAGGTTGCGCTTCTTATTGTTACTAGTGCTGTTATTGTTT